AAAACCGAGCTGAATGTGGATGATGCAATCCTTAAGACCACCAAGAGATTGCTCCAAGTCAAGGATCGCAGTCTAGCAGAGAGCACTGTCTTGAAGGCCATGAAGCAAGCTGGGCACAATGCACAAAAGGATTGGGAGACACATCACGTTCGCAAACTTGACACCCTTGCAGTTCTGAAAGAGCGCCAAGCAATCAAGGACTTCCGCCGTGGACAGCACAGTAAGGAAGCCGGGCATGCAGAATGTGCTTTCAACATTCTGGAGGCTTTTGTTTCTGTCGTCGGCATGGGGGATGACATCAATGGCATCATCCGAACGTGCCCTCCACCTCGTGACGGCGAGTCCGAATTGGCTTGTCAGGTGGATTCGTCCATCTTGGTAGCTTGGGTGGGAAATGCTGCTGCAAAGATTTCTCTGGCAGCTTCCAACTGCGCTTTGACCCTTAACGTGGACTCAGTGTGTGCAGCAGGGGTCAGTGGCTTGTTGTCCGCCTTCGGAGAGATTGCCGCTGGTGCTTGTTTGAGTGGTGCTGTGTGCACACCAACCCCTCCTTCGGTGTCTACGAGCCAAATCAGTGTCTTGGGCGACCATACTGTGCGAACCGGCCGCAGGCTTTTGATCGGCCAGGGACCTGTTGGCAATGGTGTGCAGTGTGGCGTAGATGTTGGTATGGTGGCTGCCAACATTGCAAACATGGGACTTGCCATCAACAAAGCGGTGAATGTAAACCGCTGCGGCAAGTTTGCGACTGAAAAGAATCCATTGAATGTCTTGAAGGGAATTCCTGCTGCGCTTTGTGTGGTGGACATTGCAGGAGCAGTGGCATACATTGGTGAGGTTGTGACATTCATCAATCTGGTTGTGGTTCAGTGCCAAGACTTCCTGGATGTGAGTGCTCTTTGTGGCGTTTCCATTTCTGCTATTACCACAGGTGCTGCTGCCATCGCTGCGTACGGAGGAGCGGTGCATGCCGCTTGCCGCTACAACCATTTGTTGAAGACTCCGAACCTTGGTCAAGATATTCCGGACTTTGCTTTGGATTGCCTTCGAATGTTTTGACGGGTTTTGCTCCAATTTCCAATAGCAAGGTTCAGAAGACAATTCGGTTTCAGTAGCAAATAGCTGGCTAGTTGATGCTAGTTGAGCATTTTTGCATCTAGTCTAGGGGCATCGAGGTTTAGTAGAAGCTGACCCTTAAAATACACAAGTGTTGAGTGTGAATGTTACAACCGGTTATGTTTATATTATATACCTGGATGTTCTTAGTTTTTTGTACCCGGTAAAGCAAATGTTGATCTTGTGTGTGACAACAACATATTCTTGATTTGCGAGGAAAGCTTTGGCCAAGATCAACGAACTTTGGACCCTCCCAGATCCTTTGCATAGACGCTTGGAAGAGGAGCAGCTAGCACCTGAAGAGCAACCATCCTTGGAGGAGCCGGGCTGGCCGAAGAATAATCCTGTTTGGTTGACCACCTTAGATTACTACATTAGGCCCAACACAGAGAGAGAGAGAGAGTTGTTTTCTTGGTGAAAGTGAACTTGATTCGGGAGGAGAGCTTGAAAACAATCAGCGAGAACCGCATAAGCTTGGAGGAACACCTTGGGCACTTTGGGATGAACATCTCTGACAAGTTCACATATAGCCAGGCAGACAAGGAGAGGTTCTTGTATTTGATGGAAGGTGGACTTGATGAGAAGTCACGTGCTGCTGATCCGTTCTTTCAGGAATGTTAGTTCCTGCTGTGCGGGTACAACACAAGTAAGGAACCAGGCTAGCATGTTGTCGGGCGTCTTTTTGCTAGACTCACCCATGATGGGTGATCCAAAGCTGGCAGAAAGCATTTTGCTAGTCTAGTTGCTTGCTCTAATTTTGGGTGGGCCTTTTCCCACCAATTCAGCTTATGGACTCACCTATCACGAGTGATCCAAAGCTTGCAGACATCATTCTGCAAATTTATAGCGGTCCAATGTTTGCCGCGCGATATATATATGGTTGATGTTTTTTAGATCTATGGGATTTAGATGGAAATTAGTAAATAATGAATTTATATATATATATATTAATTGAATAATTAATAAACGATATGTTTGTAATTTAATGTATATTTAGTATATATTATATGAAATATAATATGTATGTATAGATACGTTTAATTGGATGTATTGCAATTGGTTGGATTTTGTAGTATTTGGATTTAAGTTGGTGAATGTGGTGGTTTATGATGTGGAGGGGGTCGATTTGTGGCGGTTGTAGGGCGATATATTGTATTTGGAGATTTTTATTATATTTCGTAATTATATTGGATTTTTTATGGATGGGATTGAATTTGTTGTATGTATTTTGATTGCAGAAAAGGTTAGTATAAATTTATTGTAAATTTTATATAAAAAATAAATATCGATAACGAATTAATTTGATTTAATATTATAGATTTGCATAGAAACGAAAAAAAATTTAGGAAGGGAAAAAAAAACTGCTACAATGAACAAAATGAAACGAGGCGACGCGAAAAGGGCTGCTATGATAGCGGGTAAAAATAGGATAGGGAATTGGGTATACCACCAAGATATTTTCGTAATGGTATATTGGCCCTAGGATTGAGGCATCGATTATCTCGCCATTGCATAGTTAAAAAAAACAGAAACCACGCCATTAGGAAGAGGTTAAAGGTAAGAAGTCAACAGCCACCAACGGCAATTTACGGTTTTAGGAGCAAACCTATAACAAGGCCAGAGGCACGCGGTGGCGGTGCGGCACCATAACGCCGACGGCGCAATGCCCGTCCAACTCTTCGCGCTAGCACGATAGCGAGCTGGTCCAGGAGGCGAGCCTTCACAAGGGTCAGATTAATGTCCTCGATTGTGGCAACCGAGCCAGCTAGGCGGGGAAGGAAAGCCCGCGTTGCTGCCGTATATCCACCATGGATTTCCTATAGAAGGGGTTGGTAATGAATGCCTATTTATTGATAGGAGGTTGCGGTAAGTGTTCCCGCATCCGCTACGCATAGACAGTGGCAGCATCTGGCGCTCCACATAAGGTGTCATTCCAATGATTGGGGCCCAAGGCGTGGATAATAGCCACATCCAAGGCGAGAGCACCAAGCCCAACGGGCCGGGAGCCATCAGGCAATGCTGGAAGAAGGCCAACCCCACCTCGCAAGAAGATGTCAGCAGGCCGCCGTCGCCCATCCAAAAGTCCAGGGACTTCTGCCTGGGGCCGCAACTGGGCCCGTGCACAATAGTCGTGCAAGAGGTCCCGCAAAGCCACTGTGGAGAGCAACAGCATCACCTGCCATACAAAATCGTGGGTGGCGACCCTTTACATCCATAGGCAAACCGCAAAAACGGCAGATCCCGCCCCCAAGGCATATATCGACGCCAAGGCGACCACCCAAACAAATCAGGAAATCATCTTTGGAGAGATTGGTGTCAAGTACGCGCGAAAGAATAAGGTTCAAAACCGTTTTAGCAGACTCCGCAGAACATACGTGGAGGCGACAAACATCATCAGTGCCAGCAGCTGCCTTCCAAGCCAGAACGTGCACTTCCCGGAGGCGATGTGAAAGGGCCGTTTGGCTCAAATTGCGGTCCGGCTGATCCCCCAAAGAGACCAATTTGTTGCAGCAACCCATTGCACCGGGCAATAGCCAACCCGAGTTCATTGCCGCCGTCCGAGCCATCCCAAGCAGCGGGCGTCCCCAGGGCGTGGCACCGCTCCAAAACCAGGAGACGTGAGCCAATGTAGGCAGCATCCGCAAAGTCGACCGCAGAGCGAAGCCCGAGGCCACCACTAGCAACCGGCAGCTGAGCTTGCTTCCAGGCTTGGGGGTCCAAAGCAAGACCCGTGGAAGCGCAAAACGCATCACGCAAGGCCGAGTCAAAGGCAACCAGACCAGGGAGACAATGCCGAATAGGGGTAGTGCGAGCCAGATACTTCATCCGGCCACCAGCGCAACACCGCCGCAGCAAATAATAGCCAACCTGAGGATCCTCCAAGGCACCAACCGATTGCACTAGAGTTGCTTGTTGGGCTCGCCAACGGGAGATTTGAGGACCTCGAAATTGCCGTCTTCACAGAGAGCGCACCCTAAGGCAGCAAAAGGACGAAGGTCGACCTGATGCTGGCACCCCGCAACCGGAGCAACAGAGGCAATGGACAACTTCAACCCAAGACGCGGCATGACAATGGACCAATGCTGCAATGCCCGCAATACCTCGGCAGAAAGCCCGGCAAGAAGGCCATCGTCCGCAAAGCACGGCGCCATATCCAGCTGAGCGGGCGGCTGCAATGTGGGCAGTGCCACAGCAGTGCCGGCAGGTGGGTCAACCAAGCCCAAGCTTTCCAACAGTAGCCGCTGCACCACAGCATGGCAGGCCGTCATCAAAGGACACCCTTGTTGGCCGCCCGCAACGGAAGGAATGATCATATGGTGAAAGAAGACCTTAGTATCAATGTCAGTGGTGTAAATGTATTCTAACCAGCGAGAAAGGCCAGGGGTTACCTCCTGCATGCGGGTCAGAAATACATGGCGATCAACCACATTGTGGGCATTGCCCTCATCATAGGATAGGCACACGCGATCGGTGTCAGCGCGGTAGTGGTGCTGCCACTGCCGGTATAAATGTGGCATAACCTCAGTTCCAGCCGAGACACCAACCGCAAGCTGGTGCGGCAACAAGTGCGTCCGCAATGCCGGAAGCTCACTCCTCAGCAAGACCTTGCCAACAAGTCGGCGCAAAGCTTCACCGGCATATAAAGGCCGCACGTCGGCTGTTCCAGTCGTACTCAGCTTCGCCAAGGCTGTGCCACGAGCCCCACCTAAGTAAGGCCGCAATCGATAAAAATAAGTAATATTTAAATAATCGATTTATTGTTTTTTAAAGCACGTGGAGGAATTTGAGAATAATATTGAAAGGAATTAGGATTCGATAAAGTAATTTTGAGTTTAATAATTGAAAAAAATATAGAAGAAATGAGAGGGATTGCTCCATGAATTTTGTTTTGACTAATGATTTTTTGAATTATTCTTTATTCGTAATTTCTTTATAGTTAATTCGTTATTTATTTATAATTGTTCTTAAGGAAAAATATTATTGAAAATTATTCTTAATTTATTCTTATGTGTTCTGTTCTTAGCAATTTAATTCTTATTTATATTTTGCAAAGGATTGGCACCATTTTGCAATAGAAGCATGGGGCTACATTTGCTCTGGCATCCACGGAATCGTGAGTGCCGCAATGTCCATGCACACGTGTGGGTACCTCAAGGTAGTGATTATTCTTGTAATTTGGGGGTACCCTCCTAAGAATAATTATGATGAAAAGGATCTCATCCATTTTCCTGTTATTTACAATGTATTGAGGTGAGATTCCCTTCTTCATAGCAGGATTTCTGAATGTCTCCGTAAATCCATTTTCTCATCCAGAAAGGGTAATAAGGTGAAGAAGGATAAGAAATTCAGGAAGTGAAACAGAAGGAATAGTGTATTTTTAGTTTCTGTTCGTTTGCGTTTCATTTTCGAAAGATATTCCATAAATGGCATGAAAAACCTCCTATTGGACATAAAATTGATGATTAAAGGGATTTCCCCCAAGGAAACCTCTCATCTCTCCCATGAAAAAAATGGAGAGGCCCTAAGGACGTTGAATATTATGAATTTTGTATTTTATGTTATTAAATAGATTACTATAATATATAGATGTGAAGGCTAAAGCAAAAGTGCGATTGAAAGGAATAATTTTTGGAGGTATGGAGGTTCGTCGCGGAGGAATGTTGAGGAAATTATATAGAAAGGAAGAAATAATAATTCGGCATTAGGATTTTAAAAATTAAGGCAAGGAGAAAAGGCAATATTACATTAGGTGTTTCTCGAGGATGTAGACATAGGTATAGAGGTTATTCTTAGTGATTGTAGTTATTTCGGTGCCAAAAATATGGATTTAGGAGGGGGAGGAAATATTGAATGTTTTAAAGGATTTATTTAGAGAGCTCTTGAAATGCCATCGTTGTTTCCCCGATTGCGCCGGCGACCGTATGGCCGAGGATTTGGTTTACGAAGATGGGTCTAGGCGGATCCAATAAAAGCTTGACGCATAATTTGGAGGTTGTGGAGCCAACTATGGACGAATTTGGAGTATTGCGTGCCCGAGGAGAAGATTTAGGAGTAATTGGAGACGGGAACAAGAAGGCTTTTGAAAAAGGATTGCAAAAAGGAGAAAAAGAATTGGAAAGGTCGCAGCCGAAAGAAATAGAAATCCAAGAAGGAGAAAAATAAAAGGAGTCAAAGAGACCGGAGGTCTATAAAGCGAAATTCTCCTTCCAAAGATACGGCTAGGAAAGATAAGGATAGAGACCATACGTAGGTAGCAACAGGATAAAAAATTCGATTAATAATTTAAGCAACGAGTCTATTCGATTGTACGGTTGCCGGCCGCGTACGGCCTCGACCAAGACGATCGAGGCCCCTTACAGTGCTTGGGACGGGATTCGACTTGCGAGAAAAGGTCTGCGGGCGAGTTCTAAACATGTCAACAAGCGATGAGGCAATAGCGAAAGGTCGTTCCTTTTGGACGAGGAGATGGAGGAGATATTCTTCGAAGAGGAATTATCGGTTTGGCGTCGCCTAGGTTGTATCTAGTAGCATGAAATCGAATTTGATGGTAGAAGTGGGGACGGACGATATGCCGAACGCCCTCAAGTCCATCGCAATATTATATTTCCGGTAGCCATTGCAATGAAGATCCTCAGGACCAACCTAGAACAAGTTCTTAACATTCGCTCTGACGGCAGATTATCTCATGAAACCCCGCCCAGCTCGAGCGCTGGACGCAATAACATTTCTAGGGAGCCACTGGACGGTGGCGCGGCGTTTGGAGGTCGCTCTAATGGAATTGATTTCTATAATAGGTCGGGAAGAATTGGAAATAGCTTAGCGCGCAGCTTACACGGAGGCAAAGGCAAAGATGTTGATTTCGATGCTTGATGGGCGTCTTAAGGGCTCTAAGAGGACCGGTAAGTCAAAGGACGAGGAACGAC